AGGCTGCCCTGCCAGTTCACTGCTTACATCTACATTACATGTGGGATGAGAAAAAAACAAGGGGCGTTTTGGGTGCCAATATTAAGGTCTCTGTTGAAAAGGAAAATGAGACTGCAGGTAAGACAAACAAAGCCCACGAGCTGTGGGTGGTTCCAGAACCCAGAATTATTAGCTCTTTAATTCTCATTCTCTCTCAGGTCACTGTGGGGAACAGACTGAAGCACAGGAAATAGCTCTGAAAATCAGTTTTTGCATTGCAGCGTAGATTTAGCCAGAGAGAGGCCTGAAGAGCTGTTTATATAAATTTTTAGAGGATATTGAAGTCATTAAATATGCTGTATTCAAGCGAAGGAGACGAAGGAGGAAGAGGAAGCCTGGGATGAATCACTGCTTTGGTTATTTTCAGAGCAGCTCTTCAGGGACGACCATGGCCTTCAGGACGGGGGAGAGGAGCCCCTGAACTCTTTCTGGCTCTGCCATATCTCAGTTTACACAGCAGTTTCGCAACATCACCCCGTCATGCTACCCTGTTCTCCGCAGCACAGCCTGAACTGCGGCGCCTGGTGAAAGCCATCATCTGATTTTTGTTTACTTGGTGTATCGTTGCCAATAAACAACAGGACTGTACACTGCCATGTCACTCGCTGACCCCGACAACTCCATTAGCTGTGTGTCTCCACGTTCCTGATGTGAAACAGAGAAACCAATTTTGGATTCCCACCACATGAGCTAACACAGAAATGTAACGACTGCCAACTGGAGATCTGCCTCGACACAGTCACAGGGCCCGAGCAGTAAGACGTGCTTTGCTGTACCTTTCACCGTGACCTTGTGTTCACCAGTCCCTGGGTGGGTATACAGGTCGATCTGTATGGACACTTCACCCACAGGATCATCCACACCCGAGCCTGTTGGAAAAAAATTGACACCCCTTCAATGTGCACACATGGGTTGCTGTTTATTGGCACCCATCCTTGGTTTTCGGCCTCAGCAAGACAACAGCGTTTCCACAGAACGCCTGCCATAGCCAGATTTTCAGTCAACATCGATAACGTAACATTAATGCAAAATAACATCAGGCTCGCATGCCCAACACACGTAAACACCAACACTTTTTGCACTCCACCATAAAGATCTCTTCCTAGTTGGGAATACTAGTAAAAATTTTAAAGGAATTTTAAGAGACCTGAAGTTTGACAACAGACCCTCCCTCAGAGAGAGCAAGGATTTTTCAGAGTCCTGCCAAGCTGTTGTGTGCACATGCAGGCATTCCAGTGGTGGGCATCAGCATTCCTGTCTGCTCAGGGAAGAAGGGAGGACAAAAACAACCGAACAAAACAAACAAACACACCAGAGAGGAAGTTTAGGGAAAAAAAAAGACAAAGATGTCAGTGATTTGCACTGAGCTGTAGTGCAGTCTCACCCTCCAAGGAGCTTTTTCCATGTTGCACATCCGATAAATTTATCATCCTGACTGCCTATCTGCTTCCCTTCGGAGGATAACGAGAACCCTTTCACTCTTGCGCATCAAAAATGATGAGAGAGAAGCACTCACAACTGCATACTTATTTCCCTTCACCAATTAGCCATGGAGAAAACAACACGTAGCTTCACAGAGGAACAGATAACATGTTGTCACAGAGAGAGAAGATCTCATGAACCTTACAATTCGTGTTCTATGATGTTTTCAACTTTTTAACTTTTAATCGTAACTATCATGCAATATGTGGAAATGACATTTTTCTGGGTAGGAAAGTCAAGATGTCGTGTAGATTACAGAAAAAGACTGCTTTGCAAAATGAAAATGAAGTCTTTGATAAGATAATGAGATTGATTTTACTTTCTCTTTGATAACTGTCTGATCTCAGGTTGACAATTAGCAATGCTGTTGTAATTGGGATACCTACAGGGTAATCGGTTACCTATGAACAGCGGTGTTATTTCGTCAATTGTGAGGCTAACACGTTACTAAGTGAAAGAACTGGTGTGTTTGAAAGTCAAGATAAAGGCCTTGAAGGACATCATTAAACAAACATTTTGATTAGGCAGATCTAACATGTCAACTTTCATAAGAACAGTCTGCAGGCAGCAAAAACACTCATTTAAAAACCAAGAGGTTGAGAGCTAATCTGTGCAATTCTCTGAAGAGAATTACATGGCACAGAACTGTAGGCAGTGAAAGTCACATTCATATACAAGTAGAAGTATCTGAGCAAACATAACAAAGCCTCAAATGATTATCTTAGGGTAGGTTCTCATTCTTGACCTCAGTACAATAAACAACCTCTAGGCTGTAACATTATACATGATCTTGGACATAATGTTTTCTCCCCACTTAGAAGGGCAGTGTTCCTTCTCTTCTGTATAAGCACACAGCTTTAAAATTGGTAGGCTTATTTATTGACCTGACCCATCTGATGGTGTGGGTCTGTCACATCATCGGCATTCTCCATGGGAACAGGTGAGATTGCCAACAGTATATAACAACTTTATCAAGCCACATCTGCAGAAACATCAAACACCAAACACTGAGCTCTTCGTTTTACTACCTTCAGTGTAATTAATAGGTTATAAAGGAGACACTCATGCTTCAGAGGAATGACAGAAGAATCATCTCATTACCTTGGAGGGAGACAAAATTTAGATTTTTTTTTTTCTACCTTCATTCTTGTCTTTTCATACAAAAATCTTGTTCTATTAACTGAAATGTTCAGAGACAAAAAAACACTTTGTAGATGGCCAGGGAAAAAAAAAAAAATCTGATCACACACCACTGTGTATATACACATACTTGCAAACTCAGTGACAAGCAGATTTAAATCTTGACATGAAAGTCTCATTGGTATTGTGATACTGGAAGGTGAAACTGCAGAACTGAGCTCGTGCAATGTGTTACAGATGTATTTCACCTAAGATAACGAAAAGACTTTGGACAGCAGAAAATAAATTGAGAGATGTAACAGAACAAGACTTAATTTTTTAGGGCTCTCCTGATCACCCAGACTTTTAGCTACCCCCCCTTCAAGACAGGTGTTTCAAGCTCGGCCATAACCTGGAGTGCATACCAGACATCACCATGTGTTACAGTAGCCCGTCCCAGCAGACCATACGCATGCAAGTCCAGGACTTGGAACAGCAATACATAGCCCATGGTAAACGGTAAGGGAACAAGTCCGTAGCATCTCTCAAAAACCAGTCAATTTTTGAGACAGCTTTCACACCCCGTGAACAAATCTCAAGCTTGGGGGACAGGCTCTCAGGCAGGGTACGAACTTCTACACCACACAACCCGTGGCTCCGTTTGTGGGATGCAAGCATTCGGTGAAAGTTCACGTCTACAGGGAGCTATGGGGAACGGGTGTCTGGAAAAGTTTCTGAGCATGGGCAAGACGACTTCAAAAGCAAGGCAGCTGGCTAATGTTGTTATGGTAACAACATTAGTCTTGAACATACCCTTATCAGGAAGAACATCCTCATTAGCGGTAAACCTAATACCTTTCCCATCATGCACTGAGACATGAATTCAAAAGGTAAGAAGCAAGCAGGATAAAGAGAGAAGAGTGTGAATTACAATTAGCGGTGTCACTTAAACAAATACAAGACAAATATTCGAGCTCTTAATAGAGAAAACATCCTCTTAGATCTTCTGCACCAACCCAGGCTTTGGAGAGCAATGCTGTCTGCCAAGTACGGGATTGTCTGGGTTAAAACACGAACAGAATTTGTGCTGGTGTAACTAAACTGCAAGCCCTGATCCAACTCTGCAGAGCAAACATGTAACAGCACAGCGCTACGGAAGCCTGCTCAGGAAGAAAATGAGGGCAATAGATACCTCACAAACTGGAAGATGCAACCATTGAGCAGTGAAGTAAGAGAGGCAAACATTTAAATAGTTCTGCATGCAGCCATTTCCTCCCATAGGCTTGTGGGAAGCACGACTTAGGCACAGGGAAACATCAGAGAGCTCTGGTAAGCAGATGTCAGCTGTACATACTAGTGCTGTCCCTTCTGTCCCTCCAACACATGCTCAGATCTCTAAATCAATTTACCAAAGGGGGTTACAGAGAAGTTTATGCAAGTGATATCCTCTTCTAGTCCCAGTCTCAGAAGCAACTCATGCCTTTCTCAGAGAGATTCCATCATTGATCCTACAGATATTACATGGTGTAGCTCCAATCTTTTGTTCCTCAAACAGCATTCAAAACTCTCAAGCCTACTAATATAGAAGATGCAGATTTGGATCAGCTCAGTGGCCTATCACGCCCAGCACCTGTCTCCTACAGTTGCTCTGGTGAGCCACCAAGAAATGTCATCAGTCAGCTACGAGATATGATCTATGACCTCGTAATGAGTGCATCTTATGTCCTAAAACTAGAACTTAATTCTTACTAAGCTTCTTAAAAAAAAAAAATACCCAACA